AGCGTGAACAAGTGAACAAATTTCTGCAACATTTCTAACATGCAAATTGCCGAGTGAACAATTTATGAACAGTTTTATTTTGTAATTTTACGAGGGGGGTGGGAAACTGGAAAAGAGCCAAAAAAACATATATAACTAAGCGCTGCGTAGAGTTACGAACTATGTTCGAGATGCAATATGAGCTATTGCATATCTGGTATTAACAAATGTGAAAAATACAAACAAAACACACATGAAAAAAAAAATCACGCTTACCAATAGGTTTTACTTTTCAATTCTTTTGTTTGATTGTTCTAGAAATATATTGCACTATTTTCTTTAAATCTTGCACTAGTTTTTTTAATTATTGCTCTAGTGTTTAAGTAGTGTGCTCTCTTCCACTCCCCGCCCCAACACCCCTCGCGTTTAAAATTTTACTTTTACTCAGTTTTCGGCTCTTTACCAGCTTCCCCCTTTAAAAATACCGAGTTTTATGTTTGTTTTACGCGTTATTACGGCTAAATGCGTGATGTTACGCTGTAAAGTATGAAGAACAAATCTGTTCATAGTTGTCGATTTGTTCACCATGTCAAATTTCATTGCATTATGACAACGTTAACTAGGGGCCCAGCTGAAAGCTGGAGAGACCTGTTTGATTATTTTAATATTGATTATTTTAAAATTGTTTTAAAATTTCAGGTTTCTCAAGTCGATAGCGCCCTTCCTACGCAAAAAAGTGAAAGAGAAGCTTATGCATTCATTGGTAATGCTTTGTTAAAAAGTTTTCATGAGGGAACTTTTCAAGTCCATAGGTGTTTCCCTGGACAATAGGGGCCCAGCTGGAAGCTGGAGAGACCTGTTTGGTTATTTCAGAAAAAACGTTATACAAATTTTTGATGAAATCGAATTAGCTAGCGCTTTTTGTTTTATTGAAAAAACGAGTTTGAAAAAATGTGGGTGGGGGTGTAAGGTTAGCGAAATCGCAGATTGATTTCGGATGAGTTTTGTAAACTAATGTAGCAAGGTAATTGTGTGCATCACTCTGCCAGAATTGTTAAAGTTAGAATTAAGTGAAATGTGTGTTTCACAAACCAGCTAACATTAATGAAATAAAGCATTTTTCATTTTTCTAACGACTCTTTAATTTTCGAATTAATTTAATTTTGTCCAAGCATTGCAAATATGACTATAATATGTTGACTATAACTGACATCACAAAAACGTTCTGGAACAAACCGACCTGATTAAAGAGAACTAGCGTAACTCGTGCAACTTCTCGTTGGACTTCTTCGAACCATACAAAAAACTCAACACAAAGCCAATAGCACCAAGCAAAAGCGAGAAAACGTAAGCATAGCGGATTCCATTGTCGAAAAAACACACACAATCAGTATATTGAATCTTTGTTCCAATGCAAAAAAACTTTTAAAAAAACTTTTCCTAAGTGTACAGCTCTTCCCCGAGACAAATTAAGGAATAGCCGCTTGGGCAGGGGAGTTTCCTACAACCTGGTCTATCGATTAAACCCTTAATCCCAAATCTGGATGGGTAGTTTTTAAAGAAATCGAAAAAGTTTGAAAAAATGGCCTAAAAACCGAAAAATTGACTATTCCCAAGTATATAGCTCATCCCCTAGACAAATTAGGGACGAGCCGTTTGTGTAGGGGGGGGGTTCCTACAACCTGGTCTATCGATTAAACCCTTAATCCCAAATCTGGACGGGTAGTTTTTGAGGAAATCGGAAAGATTTGAAAAAAGGCCAAAAAAGTGACCTTTCCTAAGTCTATAGCTCTTCCCCTAGGCAAGTTAAGGACCAACTGCTTGTGCGGGGGAGTTTCCTACAACCTGGTCTATCGATTAAACCCTTAATTCCAAATCTGGATGGGTAGTTTTTGAGGAAATCGATAATTTCCGAAAAAATAGGCAAAAAAATCAAAAAAGTGACTTTTCCTAAGTCTATAGCTCTTCCCCTAAGCAAATTAGGGACCAGACGCTTGTGCATGGGAGTTTCCTACAACCTGGTCTATCGATTAAACCCTTAATGCCAAATCTGGACGGGTAGTTTTTGAGGAAATCGAAAATTTCCGAAAAAATGGGCAAAAAGTGAAAAAAGTACCGAGTTGTGAAGCTTTTCTAAGACCGTAGGGGGTGGGGTAGGGTAAAAATTGCCCTAAATTTCATGCAGGCAGGTAAGTGAAACGCTACTGAGTCCATTGGTACCACTTTTATGAGAATCTGACGGGTAGTTTTTTGGGAAAGCGAATTTTTCGAAAAAGCGTCTCAAAAAAAAAAAAAAAAAAAAACCAGATCTCATCTGGAAAAAAAAAACGTTTTCATAATACCTGTTTAATAAATCAAACAGGAAATAAGCTTTTCCAATTTGAAAGGTGGGGGGGGGGACTGGAAAAGAGCCCAGTTTTCTTATGTATTATTACGGCTGAATGTATGGTGTTAAGATGCAAGGTATGGAGATCAAATTCGTTCACATGCAAAATTTCATTACTTTTAGGACAACGCAAAATTAGTTTTTCAAAACTGAAACTCAAATATGTGGGAGTGGAAAAAGCCAAATATTGAACTAGTTTATCAATTATGGCACAAAAACATACAGCACAAATGATTTTTATAAATTGTGCTTGACAATATGAGTAGAGAAAAATTAGAAAAGTCCCACTGAAGGTGGAAAAGTCCCCTGAAACTACCTTGAACAATAAACTTGCAACTACAATAAAAAATACTCACTGGACAAGCAAAATCCGTCATGTGGCATCTAAGCCGGCAAAAATTGAGCAGACGCAGAAAAAACTGACATTTCAATTCTTAACGCAATAAGAAATTCAATTGAATACAGGCTGAAATAACAAAATCCGAGCGGGATACGAACCCCTGACCTTACTGGCATTGCTTTCACGAAAAATGGTCTACAGACGGTGGAAAAATATACAGAACAAAAAAAAACGAGAAAAAATGATTGAAAAGTTTTGACAATTTTCAATTTCCGAAGAAAACATACATCTAACAAGAATTTTATGATTTGTCTAAGATTGGTTAAGAACTCTAAATTCGATGGGAGTTTAGAAAGTTGAGGGCTGTTTTTTAAAATTAGAGTTCATTCACGAACAATTGTATAGACTTTTTCTATAAAACAAAAATCATCACGAACTAAATAAGTGAGAACCACTTCTTTCTTTTACTATACTGAAACAATAAATATGTTCGCTTGTTCACAAAAACCAGTTTTAAAACCCAGAGATAAAGAAAGGCTTCACACTAGTCCCGATGATCACAAACAGCATGACAAGCAAGGAAACAAAAAATGCGACTGCCAGTTAGCCAAAAAAAAATTATTTGAAAAAACTCGTTTTACCAAACTTTTTGTACGTTTGTCTGGAATAAAGTTCAAATTGAGGGAAATATAAATTGAAACATAAATTTCAGCATGAAAATAAATTTCAGCCTTCGCCCAAAACTATTTGAGCCGAATCAACGCTCAAAGAAAATCGAAAAATTATACAAAATCGAAGCTGGTAAATTTACAAATTATAAGAATAAATCAAAACGAATTGCAATGCTAGCAAACTACCGCGTCACTCGCGCCTGCGGTGCATCAAATAGATCATTGAACCCAAAAAAAGATTCCCTAAAATCTTGAAGACTATGAAAAAAACTACATTGAGATTGATGGATAGGGCATCAACATAGTTTTATATGTTTTTATTAAAATATTTTAGAAAAATCGGTTGATATGTTAAATTTCCATTTCTTTAGTAGAATCAGTATTCTTCTACATCCTCTTTGGTGCCAGAAAACTATATCTGCCTTAAAAAATAAAAATGGTTTATCTCAGAAAATACTGAGTTTCAAATTTTCCTATTTTTACAAAATACAACCCTCTATATACTATCTTTTCTAAGTAATTCTATATTTTCTTGGTTTGGTTAGGGGAAAATGTCAACACAAAACGTTGGAACAGAGGCGAAGCTACACTTCGCAAACACTAGCGAGAACACGGCAAAAAGCAGCTCTATTAATTGAAACAAAAAAAATCAAAAATAAACCTCAAATTAGTCAAAATTCTGCTCCGTTTTAGATTCATATCAGTGACCTAGAGATTGAGAGTCCCACACCCTTACCTCTCAGCCACTGACGCTTAACAATCGACAAAAACTAGCCACAAATAAAGCAGAGAACAGATGCTATGAAATTTCTAATGCTACAGATTGTGAATAGCAAACGTACCACTAAATGAGCAGCTTTATTAGCGAGTTAGGTTTGAAACAAAAACGTCATACAAATACACTACGCTCGGATGAGTAAACAAAATAAACAAAAGTTTTTTACCTGAAAAATTTCCGTCTGAATGCCGTTAGATTTTTTGAGCTTAATTAGTTTTTAACGCGGCTTGAAGGAACGTAGTGTGTTAGGCTGAACTTGACAAAACTTATTTAAAAAATATATATAATTTTGAGATAACTTAAGAGATAAATTACAGAACATTTAGATTTTCGAAAAAACTTATGTGGTTCAGCCTAACACACTATCTTTCTTCATGCCGCTAATAGGCCATTAAACCATCCAGAAATGACCCAAAAAACTGAAAAAATACCCGGAAAACAAACCTATTAATTATTTTTCAAAAACTCAGCGTCAAAGGTGCTTCCAATATTTAGAACACTCGAAATTCTGATGTAACGCACTGATGTCTTAGAACTCATCTATCTCATGAATATACCTTTCCAGTGATGGCAACTTTGGCAATACTGTACCTTTTGCTAATACCTAGAAACATTGCGCGTTATAAATTCGTTCCTTTAGAAAAAAATTTTTTGTCTTTTTTTCTCGAAACCAAGCTAGTTTTCGAGATCGATTTTCAAAATCCTAATAAGTTTTATACTTCTGTTTGTATAAACATCCCAGATAACGTTCCAATTTCCTTGTATACTCGAAAATTTTCTGAATCAACATTAATCTCCAGCACGTTTTCCTTCCGATCCTTTTTTCAAGTAAAGATCGAAACAAAAACAAGTTCTCGAAGAGTAAATTTTTGTCCAATAAACAAATTTTCTCATATTAAACTTTCCATTCTACGTCACTACATGTGTTCTGGTTCTTAACTGGACTTAAGGCCCAATTCACCAAACAGACCCAACATCTACACTCCAATCACGTTTTCCTCAAGCAATGAAATGACCAAAAGACATACATAAAACAAACTCAGTCCTGGTCCTTATCACCATCGTAATACTCATTGTCTTTTTCCACTCTCTTTGATAATTCAGTGGCGTCTTCCCTTTGATCTGGATTCGAGTCCGCCCAGTCCCTGGGATCATCTTGGATCAGATCATCAGGAACATGTTGCATTTGTACACTTGGCGCCGAAGCTACACTTTTCAACATTTCAACTGTCATTTTCCTAATGTCATCCAGGTATTGCTTTGAGTTTTGGTTGTCCATTTTACAAACGGTTTCTGGGTGCAGAGTAAAATCTGGAGCAAAGTACGAGTAATATTCAGTTTGAGGCAGATCATTGCTGATTTCTTCTCCGACCAACACAGATGTTTCGTATGTCCAGCAACGAGCTACATTCCGCATCGTATATCCCCCACCTCCTAGTACCAATACTGGTACATCAAACTCTAGCATGTAACGAACGCAATCACCATGACCGTAGTTACTCATATTGAAACATCCCAATCGATCAGCTGCAAGGCAATCGGCTCCACATTGCAACACTACCACGTTTGGTCTATAGTGATCCATAATAGCTTTAACCGTAGGTTGATAAATACTTCGGTAACTCACATCATCCATTCCGTCTTTTAGAGGAACATTCACCGAGAAATATTTACCAGCTTCTTTACCAATTTCATACATATCTCCGGTGCCAGGGAAAAAAGAGTTTCCGTACTTGTGAAACGATACTGTCATTACTCTGTCCGTCAGATAAAACGCTTCCTGCACCCCATCACCATGATGAATATCGATATCAACATATAGCACTCTTTGATGGTACTTCAGAAGCTCAAGAATAGCCAGCACTATATCATTGACGTAACAAAAGCCTGAAGCTTCACTCTTTTTCGCATGATGCAGACCACCGGACCAATTCACAGCAATGTCGCACTGTTTGTTATTAATTTTGCGTGCACCGTCAAGGGACGCGCCGGAAGTTAGAGCGCAAAACCTATACAATCCAGGGAACATGGGACTGTCATCCCCGATGTTGAAGCTACTACAATTTTTTATTGGAAAAACGTCGCTTGCACTTTGTCCAATTGAACGTTGCAAAAATTCGATGTAATCTTCGGAGTGAAATTTGCACATATCATGAGAAGTAGCTTGATAAGGTCGGTAGACTTTCATTTTCTTATGCAGCTGATAAGAGAACACTAAATTATGAGTTAGAGTTAAGCGATGTGGTTTCATTGGATGATTGGCTCCATAATGAAAATTCCCAACCGTAGGCTCGTAGAAATATACAATACTTCTTTTATTTGTAGTCATGCTTTCTAAAACAAAACCACGCAACAGCGTTCATATTTCTGTGCCTTTAGACCAAAATGCTCAACGGTTTCAGTCAAAAACGAATCGCACGATATGTTGAAAACGACGATCAAAGTGTTATTTGTAAAAAGAGACTAATTGTGAAAGCTAAAATGGAATGTTTGATTTTTTTTTCAAATTTGAATTGAAGGGACATGACAGGTGACAACGCATTTTTTCGCAACAACTGAAATTCCGCGGAAATCAGACGACAAATAGAACTAAATGGACGGAAATTAGAATTCGAGATCGAGCGATTTCGAGAGAAAAGAAGCCTTCCGAAACGTAACCATCGTGCAATTACAGTTTTAAAAGAACAATCAGGTCATAAGTATCATAGTAACCGTGTTATAATCAGGAGTTCCTTCATCACATGTTCCAGTCAAAATCCTACAAAATTTCTAGATATGGAACTGATAACGATAAAAAAAGAAATGGTTAGATATATCAAAGAAGTTCAAATATTTTCGCACATTTTGAGCAATTTTCTTAACAATATTTACAGTTCGATCAAAGAGCTAGAAAAATCGGCAAACATGTCTCAAAAATGATCTAGAAACTTTTGTCCACTTCTGTGTGCCAGTCGGTCATATTTGGAAGTTTGACCTTGAGGAATACGAACAACGTAATTTTGGGTGAAAATTAATTTTTCAAAAATTCGAATTGAGCCTGTCATGTTCAACTTTCACGCGAAAACTGAAAATCTCAGAAATACAAGATCAGAACTACCGAAAGACAATCGCGGGAAAGTAGTTGAAAAAAGCAGCGGGAAATTGCTATTCGCAATTTTCAGATATAAATCAAACGCGAGTAGAGCTGTCCTATCCTGAATAGGAAGCAGAGCGATTGCAAACAAAGCAGACACAAATAAGAAGTGGACCAGAGTGAACCCTCGGTGGAAAGGTGGACAGCTGGGGTATCCCAATGGTCCAAACCAAAACTCAATTCTCGAGTAAAAACTCATTTACCTTGCTGGAATTAATTGATTACAAACTTCTTGAGTTAAAACTTAATTACCTTAATGCTAGAGTTACTGATTAATTTAGTCATTCCAATTCTCGAATGTGCTGGTATGCGAGTACCCAATTTAGTTTTCTTGAGTGTGTTTTATAATTGTTATGTTGAGGTAAGGAGAGTTTTAGGTTGATCCATTTGAAATGGATCACAGTTCCACTGTCAATAAAAAGTAACCATACGGACTGTTCCGACCCTGTTTTTAACGGCGTTCGCGTATTTTGGGTATTTTGAGACCTAAGTATGGGGGCGTTCTTGTTTTCAAAAGTGGGGTGGGGGGAGGTATTTTGGTAGTGGCCTTTAAGCTGTACCGAGGGTTATAGTCTCATGTCGCAAGTGAACCGAATTGGCTCCGACCGTTCGAGGTAGAAAAACACAAGAGATAGTGTCCCTGACTCTTGAGCCAATGGTTATAGGGCCTATTTTGCTTTAACCTCATATGTGACTCAAGTAGGCGACTGTTACATCGGGTTTTTATGGCGCTCCTGGGTGTTTTTACGACATCATGACTACGGAGTCGAACGCACTTGACACAGCTCCGGGCTACATGCCCATTCTAGAGTACCGGTGGTACGGTTCGGCGGGAACGTGTAAACCTTCCGGTCGTACCGTGATAGCTTTTTAAGAAAACTCGAGAAAATTTCCTGGTACGCTCTCCGAACGAGGCCTAGCTAACCGAGTAAGGGGAGGTAACTAGGGGGACTAAAAAACGAGCAAAAAGACAAAAAGCGAAACAAAAACCGAAAAAGAATAGAACAAGGAACAAAAACCATAAAACAAAAAAATGGCAGTGACTTTGACACCAGATTAGTTGGATCAAAACTTTATATTAATTAAAAAGTATACCCATACTGTTTTCATAAGACCGATCGTTTCGATCATTTCAGCAAGTTAAAAAGGGGCCCGAGTGTGGGGCGTTGTCAAGGGTTTTCAGATAGCTTGCAACTGAGCTGGACCACTAGGAGACTTGACTGGGAAAGGTGACCAGCTAAGTAGGAAAGTGGTTCACAAGAAGGGTAACCGACAAGTGCTGGACACGACAAGGGAAATCCAGCACCGACGGGACCGAACAGAGAATGCACACAGGGATATTTTGTTTGGTCAATCTACGAATCACTGGGAGACTGCACTGGAACAGGTGACGAGTCAAGTGGGAAATTAGTGCTGGAGAGAGGTGCTGGACGGGCCAAGGAGACAACCAGCACGGAATCAGAGCAACCAGAGGGGGACACACAGAGGTGTTCTGGTTGCTCAATCGGGTATCGTTAGAATCCAAATTACATTATAGGAGATAAGTGTAAAATTGGATAAGCGGAACCCCACTGTTTTCAGGAAGGTTTTTACTTGAGCAGAGCTTGGAAACAGGTTCTACGGTTTTCTCTCGAGAAGTTTAGCACTGAGCGCTTAAGGTGATTTTCGGCTTAAGAGGGGGGCTAAATAAAGGGGAGGTTAGAAGGGGGCTGGTTAGGTTAGAGGTTGGCGGTTGCAAATTGTGAAAAGGGAGGACACGTTAAAGTAACTACCAATCAATATCGTCGATTTAGTTACATTATAATCTTACACGCGTGAATTATAGAGAGAGGATAACCAAATTTAAGATCGAAGTAAGGTAAGTACCCTGGCCGGATCGGGTGGGGGGAACGGAGATAGACAGTTTTTGAAACCCGGAAGGACAATACCCCATAAGAACGTTAATAGGGGGGTTGGAAAACGTGTGACAATCAGGTACCAGACATTTTTTCTACGAAAGGGCGATATTAGTCATCTCTGATTTTAGGTGGGTTCATCTTTCTGTTTTTATAATTTTTTCTCGTTTGTGTTTTTAAGTTTTTGGTACTAATTTTATCGGTTTTGAACAAACAGGTCATCACAACACACCGGCGAACAAGTTGAATTTCAACTTGCATCAGAATAATAAAGGGAGATAAATACAGGGGTGTTAGCATTTGAAACTTCTGGCCAGTAAGGTTGGGTTTTGGGAAAATTTTTATACTAGAGCTCAAGTGGTGGTACCAGGGATAGTAGTTCAAGAGTCTCAACAACGAAGAAGAAGAAATCAGTTTGTCCCAACACTAAGGAAGATGGGGTCTTGGGACAGTGTGTGTGTCCCAACACTGAAGTGACGAAGTCCTGGAACAGTACGAAGAAGTCTTGGGACGGTACAAAGAAGTCTGAGGACAGTGCCGAAAGGTCTTGGGACAGTACCAGGAAGTCTTGGGACAGAGCGGAAAAGTCTTGGGATAGTACCAGGAAGTCTTGGGACAGAGCGGAGAAATCTTGGGACAGTACCAAAAAGTCTTGGGACGGAGTGGAAACGTCTTGGAAAGCACCAGGAAGTCTTGGGACAGAGTGAAAAAGTCTTGGGACAGCACCAGAAAGTCTTGGGACAGAGCAGAAAGGTCTTGGAACAGTACCAGGAAGTCTTGAGACAGAGCGGAAAAGTCTTGGGACAGCACCAGGAAGTCTTGGGACAGAGTGGAAAAGTCTTGGGACAACTCTAGGAGGTCTTGGGACAGAGCGGATAAGTCATGGGACAGTGCCGAAAAGTCTTGGGACAGTACAAAAAAGTTTTGGGACAGTGCCGAAAAGTCTCGGGACATCACCAAGAAGTCTTGGGACAGTACAGAAAAGTCTTGGGACAGTACAGAAAAGTCTTGGGACACTACCGCAAAGTCTTGGGACAGTACCAAAAGGTCTTGGGACAGTACCAAGAAGTCTTGGGACAGTACCAAAAAGTCTTGGGACGGAGTGGAAACGTCTTGGAAAGCACCAGGAAGTCTTGGGACAGAGTGAAAAAGTCTTGGGACAGCACCAGAAAGTCTTGGGACAGAGCAGAAAGGTCTTGGAACAGTACCAGGAAGTCTTGAGACAGAGCGGAAAAATCTTGGGACAGCACCAGGAAGTCTTGGGACAGAGCGGAAAAGTCTTGGGACAACTCTAGGAAGTCTTGGGACAGAGCGGAAAAGTCTTGGGACAGTGCCGAAAAGTCTTGGGACAGTACAAAAAAGTTTTGGGACAGTGCCGAAAAGTCTCGGGACACTACCGCAAAGTCTTGGGACAGTACCAAAAGGTCTTGGGACAGTACCAAGAAGTCTTGGGACAGTACAGAAAAGTCTTGGGACACTACTGCAGAGTCTTGGGACAGTACCAAAAGGTCTTGGGACAGTACCACGAAGTCTTGGGACAGTACAGAAAAGTCTTGGGACACTACTGAAAAGTCTTATGACGGTACCAAGATGTTTTGGGACGGTACCAAGAGGTCTTGGAACGTGCGAAATATTCCGAAATCTGAGCGAAAAGGGTCCTGGGACAGTGCGGAAAAGTCTTGGGACAGTACCAGGAAGTCTTGGGACAGTACCAAAAGGTCTTGGGACAGTACCAAGAAGTCTTGGGACTGTACAGAAAAGTCTTGGGAAACTACCGCAGAGTCTTGGAACGGTACCAAAAAGTCTCGGGACATCACCAAGAAGTCTTGGGACAGTACAGAAAAGTCTTGGGACAGTACAGAAAAGTCTTGGGACAGTACAGAAAAGTCTTGGGACACTACCGCAAAGTCTTGGGACAGCACCAAAAGGTCTTGGGACAGTACCAAGAAGTCTTGGGACAGTACAGAAAAGTCTTGGGACACTACCGCAGAGTCTTGGGACAGTACCAAAAAGTCTCGGGACATCACCAAGAAGTCTTGGGACAGTACAGAAAAGTCTTGGGACAGTACAGAAAAGTCTTGAGACACTAGCGCAAAGTCTTGGGACAGTACCAAAAAGTCTTGGGACAGTACCAAGAAGTCTTGGGACAGTACAGAAAAGTCTTGGGACACTACTGCAGAGTCTTGGGACAGTACCAAAAGGTCTTGGGACAGTACCACGAAGTCTTGGGACAGTACAGAAAAGTCTTGGGACACTACTGAAAAGTCTTATGACGGTACCAAGAGGTTTTGGGACGGTACCAAG